CAAGTAAAGAAATGGTTATATGATTCGATGAAGTTGTTTTAAGTTTATATTTGTTTTCTTCAGGTGGATGATCGATATAGTCATTGCGTAGATGAGATTCATACGGTTGTATCAGCGTTCCATGCAGCAACCGAGTTAGATCCACAGTTACACACTCGGTTTGCAATCCAAACCATCTCATTCTTATACAAGAACTTGAGAGAGAGAATCAGCAAGAAGATACTTGCGATGGGATCGGTTTTAGAGAGAGGCAAAGAGAAGTCTCAAGAGAACTCTATGTTCCACCAGCAATGCCTTCTTCAGCAGCTGAAACGTAAGAACCATCAGATTTGGAGACCGCAACGAGGTTTGCCTGAGAAATCGGTCTCGGTTCTACGGACTTGGATGTTCCAAAACTTCCTTCACCCGTAACAATCTTCTACTCTTTATTAAAGCCTACTTAATGATGACATTGTTAGCTCAAATTGTTAAGCATATCGATGTTTTGCTTGATTGCAGTTACCCGAAAGATTCGGAGAAACATCTTCTTGCTATACGAAGTGGATTGACAAGAAGCCAGGTATTGTCCTCACTCGAACTCTCATCTTTGTTTTGTTACATATATGCAATGCACCCATTGATATTGGTTTGGAAAATTGCAAATTTGATATTCAAAAGAGTGATAACGTGACATACTAGTAGTGTTTCTAAAAACCGGTCTAAGATTGTTTTAAAATGAATGAGATTAAGGATAAGAAATTTTTCATTTGCATCTCTAAATGGAACCAAAGTTTCCATTTTTCGAATTATCAAGATTTTAGTCGCACCTACTATGTTTTGTTACTCAATTAAGTCCTAAGATTAAAGTGTGCCTTATTTGTTGTTTGTGTGTGATTTTAAAGGTATCAAACTGGTTCATAAACGCGCGGGTTAGGCTATGGAAGCCGATGATAGAAGAGATGTACGCGGAAATGAACAAGAGGAAGCTGAATAGTACTCAACTTCAAGGAAATGGAGCAAGTCATAGAATGACAAAGTCCATTATGATGAGCCAAGAAAGGGACAAATAAGAGAATAACTGTGTTACAACGTTGTTCAAGCAATTTACTACTATGATTGTTTATGTTATAATTGTATATACAACTTATTTTATCTATTTCATATTATGTATGGCTTTGTATTTGAATCATTATCATATCATCGTCTAAAAAACAAAACAAGTTCATGAGAGAACTCACTTAAAAAAAAAAACCCAAGAAAACTGTGTAGTAGTAGCCTCGTGGAGATCACCTAACAAAAACGACGTCGTCTTATGGTTTGACTGATTTGTCAACTTGCCAAAACGCAGCGTTTTATTTATCTCGTACGAGAACATAAAAGAGAGAAGAAAAAACCCATTCGGAGAAAGAGAGAATCTCGACGGCGAATGGAGGAAGACAGAGTCGCCGTGACCGGGGGTGGTGGAGCGTGTAGATACGCGCTGAAACCGGCACGTATAAACAGCGAAGACATACTCATCTGCATCGATGTAGATGCTGAATCGACGGTGGAGATGAAGACTACGGGAACTAACGGGAGGCCTTTGATCAGGATGGAGTGCGTGAAGCAAGCCATTATTCTCTTCGTTCATAACAAGCTCTCTATGAATCCAGATCATCGATTCGCTTTCGCTACTCTTTCCAAATCAGCCGCTTGGGTATTTCTTTACTTTCTCTTCTGATTCTCTTTTATCTGATTCATTCAATGTCGTGTTCGTAATTTTGGGGTTTTGTTTTGATTATTGAGGCTGCTTCTCAGATTTTGATTTTTGGATGGAAAAATTGGAATTTGTGATGTTCACTGGAGAGGAATTTTGCAATTTCGTATCGAGTCAGTAGCAATTTTTGCATAGCTGATGATTGTGTTAGGTTTTATGGCAATCTTGCTGTGTAAAAGAACGAAGAAGCTATATAGTTATATACTCGTTGAAGCATTGCAGCTGTTTGTTCTTCTTCTTCTTAGAGGATGTTGTGCAAATGGTGTATTTGGTCTGCTTGATTTTGCTTCCCTTTGTTGGTTTTGCTGGTCTTTCTGATAGATGGATCGAATAGAAACTAGATGATCTCGATTTGGTTTTAGTTTACTTAGCTTTGGAACAGCGTTATAAATGTAGTCTTGAAGTATCCTTGTATGGTTCATGTTACATTCAGGTAGATAATTAGAGCACCGATAGTAAATGAAGCCTCGGTTTCTTCATAAGTAGATTGTAAACTGGCGATATTGGGATAATATTTTCAGTACTAAAGATCATGCTTCTTTCTGTTTCTTCTTGATGCATGTTTTGGTGAAAGTCTTGTTTCTTTGAACTTTACGGTCTTGTCACCTGACAATGGTTTTTTCTTGTATTGTTTGTAGCTTCAAAATGGGCAGAGATAAACCACATTTGATGCATAACATAGACTCTACTAGTGACTGTTGTCTTGGAAAAAAGTTGATTCGGTTGATGAAACTTTTGTTTAGATCTTTAAGTACACTCTTCTCTCTGCTGACTGTTTCTCTAAAATTAAACTTGTTTCAGCTTAAAAAGGATTTCACCAGTGATGCCGATTCTGCTGTTGCTTCTCTAAGAGGATTGTCTGCTACTAAATCCTCTGGTCGAGCGGATCTCACACTTCTGTTTCGGGCAGCGGCTCAGGAAGCCAAGATTTCCAGAGCTCAAAACCGAATTTTGAGGGTGGTAAGTTTATTATTCCTTATAAAACTATCTCCTATAGCCACGTCCTGAAAAAAAAGAAGCTATCTTACTGATTGTATATACATTCCCCTGCAGATTCTCATATACTGTAGGTCATCCGTGAGACCAACCCATGAATGGCCCCCCCTAAACCAGAAGGTCTTCACATTGGATGTTATGTACCTTCACGACAAACCGGGTCCTGATAATTGTCCTCAAGATGTGTATGACTCTCTTGTTGATGCTGTTGAACATGTTTCAGAGTATGAAGGTTACATCTTTGAGAGCGGTGTAGGGCTTGTACGGTCGGTTTTCAAGCCCATGTCAATGTTGTTATCGCATCCTCAGCAGCGATGTACTCAAGATGATCTCGACATACCCAGGTCTCTTTCAAAGAAGGTGCCTGTGACTGCCTCGGCAAATGCTGAAGATTCTCACAATGGGAACAATGTTCAAACCATAAGCCAATGAGAACACTGTGTTTTTGTATCTTTTTGGCCATGACATTTGTCGTAAGTTTCGCATGTGAAAAAATACTCAAAAATATCCATCAACTAAGAAACTCAAATGTTCCAAAATGAATATAAATGGCTTGTCCTTTTCAACAATAAGTGTAGGGTGCATAAATAGAGAGACTAAGAATACATATACTTTTATTTGTTCTAATCAATATGCAAGTATTTGAAACTTTTTTTTGTCTTTTTACCAAATTTTAACCCAAGTTAAGATAGTAATAGAGGTTTTTACTGAACCACTAGGTCAGTGCTTAGTTGGTTAAAACTTAAAAGTACCATTTATATATACTATTTCAATTATAAGTCTAAGGGGCGGGAATTTATTTGTTCATGGAATTTAATAGATTTGGAAATCTATGAGTATTTGGAATTCTATATAGATTTCCAAATCAATAAATTGGATTTGAGAATCAAATATAATGGATTTAAAAATCAAGTGAGGAGGATTTAGAAATCACATGAAATGAATTTGAAAACCACAAGTAAAGTGGAGTTAGATATAAAAACACATTGTAAAATAAATAAAATTGACTTATATTAAGTATTATGATATAAACGACAATTTTTTAAAAATAAAATTGCAATTTGCTCTTCAATAGTTTTTTTACTTAATTAAAAGTCAGTTTTTATTTATTTATGAAATCACGAAAATGTCAGTTATTTTTTTTAATTTTTTTTTGGTCACATAAAAAAGGGGACAATTACAAAAATGATATTTTTTGTGTGCACATTTGCAAGAATGCCACTTAGGGGTGTCCATTTACAAAAATGCCACTAATTATAGATTTATAAAGCCTATATCTTAAAATTCTAAACCCTAAAAAATGTTTTGACACCTAAAACCCCCTAAACACTCAAAACTAAACCCTAATAGAACATAATTAACCCAAACATAAATAATATAAAGAAAAAATAATTTTGAAAAAGTGGCATTTTTGTAAAGTGGTATTTTTTAAAATTTCTCTAAAAAAAATTCAGTTATTATGTTAAGTTTTTATTTATTTAATTAAAAGTCAGCTCTTCAATAATTATTTTCAATTACATGGAATCATGAATTTTTTTTTTCATATCATATAATTATTCGAATGAAGAATTGTAGATATATGGGATGATATGAAAATATATGATGTGTGTTTTGAGAAGATTCTGACTACAATAGTTTGTTTTGTCAAATCCAATTCAAAATAACAAGGTTTTGGTAAAGATTTCAACATTTGTATTTATAACACAAAATCAT